TGCATCTGCCTCACTAGAGGTGTGCCGGCGGGTTGGGGGTTGTTGGAATTCAATTGTTATAAGAAACGGGGGGAAGTAGACATACTTTACTGGAAGATGGCCACGGGTGCCTTCGGTCATTGCAAGCTGCACTCGGTTGTGCTGCTGCTCATGAGCATGGAAGTGCTCGTTTATCCGGGCCTTGCAATCCTCCTCGTCCCCTCCGCGCACCATGTAGTCGCAGTCTTCTTCATCGCAAGTCCACGCATTGTCAGGGCCTCGAGGAACTGTTGACGGTATCTTGTCTGCTCGGATAACCAATCTAATGGGATCAACAGACGCGAAAGAGCTTTCGCCCTCATCCGACTCATCCACGTTCTTATTATTGCTCTCATCGTGATCGGAGAAGTAATGTGATTTCTTAGCCTCTCGGGCTAAAGGTGACTCGGAATCGCTCTCGATATCAGAGTGATGCCGTTTCTTGGTGCTAGTCGCTGGGCGAAGAGTAGATTTACCAGCCCGCCTGAAAGATGTCTTTCCCACCCTTGGTGTTTCGGGAATGTCATCGTGGGCTTCCGAGTCGTCGTCAACGAGGCCAGATGTGGTGTCAATGACTTGATTTGTTGCAGTCCGGGGGTAGAATGGCTTGGACTTCCGAGGAACAATAAGAAAAGGAAACTTGTCGAGCGTAAGCGCTACGGGCTCGAATTTTGTTTTCGCCAGCTGCTGTATGTATGCGTAGATTTCGGACCCGGAATATTTTTTCTTGTCCAGTACTTGTATTAATCGAGCAGCATTGAAGTGAAAAACTTCCTCAACGGGAATCCGGTGTGCACCAGGGCCAGCTCTGTAATTGGGGAATTTATTTCCGAAATAGATTTTATTCAGAATCTGGGTTTTTGTAGGGGGCTTCTTCTTTTGAGATAATTCGTCAAACGCGTCTTCAAGAACTTCCAGCAACGAATTGAAGGGGTTTGGATCGTCAGTTGACGCTGAAGGGGCAGGCAGTATCTTTTTCCCATTCTGAGCTGAGTCTGAAGGTGTACCCTTCTGAGTTGTCTCAGGAATTGTTTCGGGAACTGGGTTATTTGATTTGGATCTCGAGCGAGTGGCTCGCGAATGTATAGGGATGGTTGTTGTGGGCGCCTGTTCTGGCGTTGGCGCGTCCTCGGTAGTGACGACACTGGACCCAGGTCTCGTTCTTGTTGATCTTAGCGTTTGGGTTCCCTTGCGCGAAGTATGAGCAGTGCTGTCGGAATTAACAGATGATTCTTTGTGTGATCTCGGGGGTGCCTCGTTCAGTGAAGAGCCTGTCGTGGAGGGCGGTGCCTGATTCTTGGATGGGCTTCTTAAGGCCTTCCAAGTCTTGTCATATGTTTCCTGCATCTACAATCAGCCATCGAGATGATAGATAGGAGTAGGAGTGAGAGACGAGAACTTACCTTGTGGTTGCTGGTAAGCCACCTGTACAGATATGTCTTTTTCCAGTCATTATACTCTTCATCAGTCTTTAGGAACTGGCATAGTAGAAAAGGAGCGATCTCATTGCACCGGGTAGCAACCTCCTCAACAGTTGAACCATCTCCCACCCTAATAGCGTACTATAGAAAATACCGGTCAGTCAATTTGTAAGCTGTAGCTGTCTGGGGCGAACATACTTGAAGAAATACGGGCGCAAGTCTCTCAATAGGATCGGATGTATTTGACGTCTTTGACTGTCGATTCAGCGTTTGTGCCCCAAAGGTATCGTATATGTCGTAAATTGTATAGTATAATTTGATTGCTTCGCGGATCTTTCGGTGCATAAGTTGATACGCAGGAGCTGGATTAACCTCGAACCATCCACCTTGGCCTGCAACCCACAGGATCTGGAGGCTCGGCGGCTCGCCCTTGGCATCTTCTCCGGGTGCTTCACCGATTGAGTAGAGGCTACACGAATTGATCTGAATGGGAACTTCGTTCTTGAACCTGCCGACCACTGCACGCAAGGTTAACTGATGATTCGTGGCAGGAGATGAGGGAGGGAGATCACCGACAATACTCTCTTTGTTCATCTTCGTCGATGACCATAGTACCGCGTACGATGAAGGGCCCATCCAGGAGAACATTCAGCGCATTCTCCAGAGCGGTTCCATCCTTATTGAGAACAACGGCGTCCCTCAACTCGAAGCAGGGCCATGGGTTCGAGGCCGTCTCAGGGGGCAAGGTGCGCAAGACCGTTGACTCCTCGCGCCATCGAATACGGCTAAAATCCACCGTCTCAACACTCGAATCCGAATCTTTCCGGGACCTTCTAGCCATATTGGAAGATGTTGCGATCGGGTAGGGTGCGAGTGCCGCGGCAGCTGTGGTGGGGTTATGGTCGTGAAAGCCTGGGCGAAGCTGGCGGTGCGGGACCGTAGGCTGGGCGGCTTTCCAAGTGGAAGTAGGGCAAGCTTAGGGTGTCATGGAGGAATTGCGATGCCAGCCGGTGACGAGTGCATCCTACTGTGAGATGCTGCTGAGGTTGCAACTTGAATTGAGGTGAGTTGAAGGACAGTCGCGTGTGAACCGCTCTTATCGGTCAATCGATAAACCTCAGCGCGAGTCCGCCCACTATAGCGTCAGCAGCCGCTAATTTAGGACGGAACCTTGCCGGAATGCATCAAGTCCCGCCTATTGATCTGATGGATCTTTAAAGTCATGTGCACGTTTTTTTAAGCTTGTCAATAGTAGCTCTTCCCTAGAAATAGGAATTGATTGATGTTTAGAGTGCATTGTTTATGTATTGGTCGTGGGTCACTCGGCAGGAAGCCGCCACTATGAATGCTGTGATTGTGAAGCAGCAGTAGACGTGCCCCACTCACTCTCTGGGGCGGATTGATGGTTGTCGCAGGCCAATTTTTTTTTTGAGCAGGCAGAAGTCGAGCAAGCGGCTGCTCCACATACACTTTGCGAACGGCGGCCTTGCAGGCCTTGATCCTCTTTAAAAATAGTTTGTCTGGTTTTCGCGAAGCTTTGCGCTCCACTCCCTGACTTTTTTTCCCTTCCAGACGCACTGCCTGGCGCAATCTCCTGGTTGCGGTTGGATCCGTATGCCACGCGCTGAGACGCTCATCAAGATGGCTTCAGAAGTCATCCGAGAAGGCTGCCTGGGTATGTCCACATGGAGGTTCAGCCGCTGGCTTTCCTTTGCTCCCCCGCATACTTTATTCGGTCTATTCGCTAACGTCAAGCTTCGTCTTGCTGCTTAGCCATTAACAAGCCCTGTGGCATGAGCTCCGCGCAGGTCATTCGGGAGTGCCAGATCGTCTTCAGCCCGTCCGCCGTATTCAAGCCTCTTATCGGATCCGAATTGGACAGAGCTCGCAATATTAAGGGTTTTGCTACTGGTAAACGGTTAAAGAGACAGAAACCATTGGTGAAAATGGGCCATGGCGGTACACTTGACCCTCTTGCGACCGGCGTCTTGATTTTGGGAATTGGGTCTGGCACCAAGGCTCTGCCGCAGTTTCTGAACTGCGTAAAGACATACGAGACGACGGTCCTTTTCGGCGCAAGCACAGATACCTACGATCGCGTGGGTCGCATCATCAACAAACGCCCATACGAACACATCACAAAGGAAAAAGTCCTCAAGGCTATGGAAGCGTTCAAGGGGAAGCAGAAGCAGGTTCCGCCCCTGTTCTCAGCACTCAAAATGAACGGAAAGCCTCTGTACGAATATGCGCGCGAAGGAAAGCCAATTCCTCGTGAGATTGAGGCTCGGGAAGTTGAGGTCAGCGAACTAGAACTTGTAGAATGGTACGAACCAGGAAAGCACAACCATAGGTGGCCGACGGAGGAGGCTGAAGCGGCGGAGCGCAACATTGCTGAACAGGTTTGGCGACTCAAGAAGCAACAGGAAACATCGAAAAATCTCACACCAGAAGAGAAGGAGGAGGATAACCAGGCAATCGAAGCCCACGAAAACTTTAAGCGCAAGTTCGAGGAGAGGCAAGACTCTCTGATCAAGGATCAGCCCCCTAAGAAGCGAAATCGTCAGGAAAAGCACCCCGCCATGATGTCGGGTGCTCTGGGCAAACTTCCCCGTGGTCTCTCTGACAAGGGCCGCGACCTAATTCCAGCCGCGCCCGATGCAAGCACACCACCTCCCTGGAGCGACGAAGGCCCACCTGCTGCGAAGATTCGCATGACCGTTTCATCTGGATATTATGTTCGTAGCTTTTGCCACGATCTCGGGGCTGAGCTGGATTCGGCGGGTCTCATGGCTGAGCTTTGCCGCAGCCGGCAAAGTGACTTTACGGTTGGGGGTACCACTTGTCTTGAGTTTGACGATCTGGCCAAAGGAGAAGAAGTCTGGGGCCCAAAGGTGAGCGACATGCTTGACCGTTGGAACGCTGAGCCCGGAAGTCAATGGCAGCCACCGTCAAAAGAGAAAAAGATGAGGCCAAACCGACCCCAAGAGGATGTTTCCAACATCGAAGAAAAGCCCGTTGAACTAGAGAACAAACCTTCACATAGACCGAGCCCCCCTCCCGAACCACAGTCAAAGTCCGCAGAGGGAACTTCATCGCCTCGCAAGGCAGTGAATGGCGGACGCCGCGAACGAAGTGACGATGAAAAGTCTTGGAACGGTATTGAAGACTGAGGTGGACACAGTAAGGAAGAAGAAAACGGAGTGAAAGGAAAGCCTGTAACGATTTTGTTTTGGAGTTCGGTTTATTAGGTCAGACGTTGAACACGATTACCTGGAGAGTCCACGACTCTCACAACCACATTTGAAGAACGGCTGTCGTCTCGCGATATGTGAATTAGAAAGCCTTTCCTTTTGCTACCCCGGTTTTCCTACCCAAACTCATTATTTTTAATACATAACGAACATAATTTCTTCGTTGGCCATCCTCGTTGGCTCCTGACATTGGTAAATCTCTAATGTATGAAGTGAATCTGTCACCCCCGAAGCATGATTTTTTGTACCCCCCAACGCCGTTAATCCTAATATCCAATTGCGTATCATCGTACCCCATACCCTCGTCAAATCACTCGTCAAGCAGAGTCCGCACATGCTCGATCCTCGCCAGTGCCGTCTCCAGCCGTTCCAGCCGTCGTCTCTTCTCCACGTCCCTCTTCTCCAGCTCTCCAACCCGCTCCTCAAGATGTGCCCTCGCCCTGCGCTCATCGGCAACCATATTATTGGCCTGCTCGAAGAGCGAGACGCTCAGGTCCTCAATCTCCTTGCTCGTGGCCGTCAGCCGGCCCTCGGCCTCCTTCCTTAGCAGCTTTTCCCGCGAGAGGGCCCTCAGGAGCTCCCGCGTCTGCTTGTCCGGGGGCGCCGTGTCCTGGGCCTGCGACGTCGGCACGCTGTTGATGCGGTGCAGCTGGGGCGGCCGGTCGACCTGGAGGCTCAATGGGTTCGTGAACGATCGGGTCGGGTGATGGGGGGCCAGGCCGTCGCCCGGCCCCCGCGGGATCCTCGCCCCCGGATTGTCGCTGTTCTTGGGCGGGGGCGGCGGAGGGGCCTGGTCCTGCGAGCGCAGCTTGGTGAGCTCCTCCTCGTAGCCGGCCCAGCGCTCGGCGGCCGCTGAGGCCTTCTCGTTGAGGGTGCGGACCTGGGCCTCGAGCTCGGCGATGCGGGCCTGGGCCTGGGAGAGCTCGGCCTGGGTCTCTTCGGGGGAGGGGAGGCTGTCCCCGCAGTTTGGGCAGCACGGCAGGCTGGTCGTGGTTGTCATCGTCGTTGCTGAGAGCTTGGTGGGAGCTGTGGTGGTGCTGGTGCTGGTGGGGAGCGGCGAGGCCATGGTTACCACCATGGTGGTTGACATGGCATGGATTCCCAGGATAGGGAGAGGCTGGCAGGGTCAATGTGTGGGCGTCCCCAACGGCACACAAATTCTCGTATGGCCAAGAGGCAGCCTGGACGCGGATAGGAGGGGTTATTGCTACTGCTGGCGTCGAAACTAGGTGTGAATTGCCGCCAGAGCCCTGTCGATCATTGGTTTCTGGTGGTGGCGTCAAGTCAAATTAATTTTATGGTTCCAGCTCAGCCTAAGCGCCACAACAGTGAAACCCAACATTACACGTGTGCCAAGTGCGATTCAACTACGATAGGACAAATAGTAACCGTTGTATTTGACGATAAGTAATTTGTATCGAATTAAATTCCATGCAAATTGTTTCGCTGTACATCTTTTTATTGATATGGACAAGTGGTGGTGGGTGTCGAATTATCCGTTGATAGCCGAAATCATACCACCAGGAGAACTCTTCGTATAAGTGGCAGTATAGTGTGTTTGCAACTCTTCTCTTGCCCCACGGTTTCCGGTTGTGACATTCCCATATTTGATCCGCATTGATCGTTTCCGATCTGTACCTCAATCAAAGGGCTTTTGGGGTTGATATGTGATTAGGAGCTCAGCGCCGTGGCCATCACTTCAGCTCGGTTTTGCGACCTTTCTTAATTCGCTAACGCCAGTTTCCGGGTCTTTGAACTCCTTCCAGCTCACCGGAACCATGTCGTTCCCAGCTTCACTTGTCGCCATAATGACTCCAAGCTCATTCTGTGCTGTAGACAGATAATAGTTTGCTTGGTCACCAAGAGAAATCTGCATTGCTTGTTAATACAATGTCTCAAATATGGCGACATAGCTCAGCATATTCCTATGCATGAGTTTGGCGTGAAACGTAAAGGAGAAACTCACAACTTGTGCGCGGACAATGTCGCCCGGCTTGAACGACTCGTAGATCTTCACCTTGTCCTTCTCTGTCGCCCTCACATCCTGAACCCGGATAACTCCCTGCCACTCCGTCTGCAGCACAGTATCTCCAACTTGCTTGATCATGACGATAGCCTGCTTTGGCATCAGACGTAATACCTGTGCCAGAACAATGTTGCCAACGTCAGGCAGGACCTCACGCCGGCTGCCGTGACGCGCGACTGAGATGGTAGCCAGTTCGTCCTTGGGCAGAGCCGCACCAGTGATCTTGTTGAGCCTCTTGGCCGGCCCGGGAGCCTTGGCTGGGGCTACGATGGAAACCTGACCCATTAATGAGGAAACGACATTGCCTTGGAATATGTGTGTTCCAGAACCCGGCGCAAACTTGGTAACGGGACCAAGCACTTGGCCAGGCAAGGCGACGGCCTGGACTCCGTCGGCAGCCATTTATACCCAATGGCTATTTGATTTATTAACGAGTTTCCGATGGAGTTTGGTCTTTGGTCCTTGGGCTTTGCAATTCGCGATGTCCAGAACTTGATCTTGCGACAGCCTTTCCTTCGTACCTGGTTGCAGAATGTTGATGCTTTGCTCTGTTGAAAAATGCGCCCCACCAATCGATAAGATAAGAAGGCTTATCTAATCTGTGTTTTCCTCTTAGAGCTTGATGATTATCAGAGCGTCACTGTCGAACTTGCATGGGGGCTATTTGATCTATGTCGCTTATTCAAATCCAAAAGACTATAGCAGAAGATTGTATGACAATTCCATTTCGCATTTCAACACTCAACACCCAGTATTTCTGATGGCTAGTTGCGAGCAACCTCTGCACATTGGGCACGGCCATCCAAGAATGCAAGACAACAAGGTGTATGATGTAAGCAATGGAAGATATATGCTTAATATTGGTACTAGCACAGCTATTCTATAAGCATGCCATGATACACCATGGCATTTTGTGATGCCGATACCGACCCAGGCTGTATTAGTCGCGGCGAGTTCCAAACGTTATCACAATGCCAGTCTCCTTCAAGATACGCGTGTAGCTCCTCGTATAGGCTGGCCGGATTAGGCATTTGTTTCGAGGTAGCGAGGAGCCCTGCCGATTCGGAGCCGTACGATGGCTCTCTCGGCACCACATTCCGTGGCACTACAGGTAATTAGTCACATCGACGCACTCTTGTTAAGTCCGAAATCCGTTGGTAGATCGCCAGATCCATGATCCGTCCAATCGCTGCGAATGCTTGGAAATACAAAGAAGGCAACCGAGCAAAGTTCTCATCAGGCATCAGCTGCGTCTTCGTCAGACCGGCGGTGTCGTACTCGTTCCGCCTCGCTCAGTTGCCGAGTAAGCGTCGCATGGATACACTGGACCGAACCGAAAGCGAAATGGTCCGCGCTTTGGCTACCGGGTCGGGATTGGGGATCCCGTCTCCAAAGCCTGAGTTGATGAGGGCTGAGTTCAATTTATACTAGATCCGTCTAGCCGTTGGCAGCGTGTGAACGACCCGCCAATCTCCGATCCCAGGTCTTCCGCCAAGACAATTGGACAACGAAGCTCTCGAGTACAGAAGTGGTGGAGTGTGGATCTGGAGTTAATGAGTTGCTTGGTAATACAGGCCACCCTTGGGAAACTGGCTAATTAATAGGATGCAGAAACCGTTTAAGCCACAACGGTCGGATTAGCCTGAGGGCAAAGAGGCATGACTGTTTGCGTATGCGTAGGGCATGTTATCGTGCCCGGGTCTATATTCCCCGGTCGAACCGTCTATCTGCAGCATGACTCTCAACAAGATGGTGGAGGTCACCAGCTGCTATATAAGGTGCTGACACACCACCGGCCAGCTTCGTGGACAAGGGAGGAATTTTCAGACCTGCCTAATCGCAATGGCCTTGCCGTTTTCCCATGTGTATGCAGTCCCCGTATTTCCCATAGGCGACCTAATACGAATAGAGCAGTAAACCACCGATAATGGTGCAGTGGCAACCGCAGGCCGGGCTCCCGTTCTGGCCCACCCTCCATGACTCTTGAGTATGACATCCCCTACATACAGAGCTTGTCACCTTGTTGCCTGCTCGCCGATGATACGCACGACTTGGCTCGCGCTTTTCCAATGCCCGCTCCTTTCCCCGCAACCCGAGGGCCCTGATTTGCTTCAAGTAGCCGTGGTGCCCTGTCCCTTCGAAAGCTTGGCAGCCGAATCGACAACCTGCTTGTTGGTTTAATAAGAACCACAACCCATCGCATCTCACGCCTAACCCCAATTGTCTGGACCATCGTGAGCTGGTCCCCACGTAGTCCGTCTCAGCAGATCATCCACTCGATCGTTAATGACAGCGAGGTAGGGGTTTGAGCCTGGGTCCTTCTTACCTATACATACTCTTTGAATACCAGTCGCCTTTGAAATGCCCCATAGTTGCGCATTGGTTTCCATCTGACGTACGGAGCAAGTCTTGGCAGTCGTGGTTGTCGCATCGCAACCAGGTTGGCAAGTGGCCGCCATACACAAAAAGCCAACACCATTAGAACCGGCCGGTGACCATGTCGGGGCCGACAAGTGACGAGGAGAACAGGGAGCTCCAGGCGCAACCTGCAGACGTCCAAGCCGCAGCCCTTGAGCCCACAGTCTCGCATGACCCCGAGCCCGAGGACGTCGTCGTCTCACGGGTCCAGAGCCGCAAGGAGGATGAGGACAGCGGGAAGACCCCCAGCAATTCGACGCCGTCAATTGGAGACGAGAAGGGCGACGGGGATGCCATCTCTTCGGCGCCACGCATCAACTCGGACTCGGACGTTGAGGATGAGAAGCCTCGAGCCAAACTGACAACCACCAAGAGCTACGCGACCGATGGCACTGCCACTTCGGCCGGGCCCGAGCCTGCGCAAGGAGGGAAGAAGGGCTGGCGCAGGGTCATCAACCCCTTGAGATGGGGGAGCATCCCGCCAGTCCCCGAGGAGAGGATCGTCTCGAGGGAGTACAAGGCCAGCTTCCTGAGCAAGATGGTCTTCGCCTGGATGGCGCCCATCATGACAGCAGGGTACAAGAGAGAGCTGGATGCCAAGGACATATGGTCAGTAAATCCAGACAGAGCCGCTGACCCCATGACGGCAAAGGTCAAGGAGGCATTCAAGAAGCACGTTGATAAGGGGGCCAAGAACCCTCTCTTTTGGGCGCTCCACGATTCATTCTTTGGAGAGTTTTACGTCGGCGCCTTCTTTGCTATAGTGTCGTCAATCCTCCAGACCTTGTCGCCTTTTGTCCTGCGGTATCTCATTTCGTTCGCCAGTGAGGCATGGATCGCCACGCAAACCGGCAAAGACGGTCCTCCAATTGGTAACGGAATCGGACTTGCGATCGGAATTACTGTGATGCAAGTGCTTCAGAGTGTCTCTATCAACCACTTTGTTTACAACGGCATGATGGTGGGAGGCGAATCGCGTGGTGTCCTCATTGGACTGATATACGAGAAGTCGATGCTCATCTCTGGGCGCGCAAGAGCTGGAGATGTCCAAATTGAAGGGGCAGCTCAGGCTGGAGGAGAGGACAAGTCCCCCGACGGCGACACCGCGGCTGATTCCAAGAAGAAAAAGAAGAAGGATGACAAAAAGGCCAAGGCCAAAGGAAATGGAGAGCCGGACATGGCCGGCTGGGGAAACGGTCGCATCACGAATTTAATGAGTGTCGATACTTATCGTATTGACCAGGCATCTGGATTGTTCCACATGGTCTGGACCGCCCCAGTTTCGCTCATTATCACAATCGTCCTTCTCATCATCAACATCTCTTACAATGCTCTGGCAGGTCTCGGCCTTCTGGTGATTGGCGCCCCTCTTCTCACCAGGGCCATCCGCAGTCTGTTCCGGAGGAGAAGGGAGATCAACAAGATCACTGACCAGCGTGTTTCTCTTACACAAGAAATCATCCAGTCCGTCAAGTTTGTCAAGTTCTTTGGCTGGGAGAAGGCATTCTTGGGCCACCTGCAGGCCTATCGTAACAAGGAGATCTCTGCCATTCAGGTGCTCCTTGCTATCAGGAATGCAATCAACGCAGTGAGCATGTCGCTTCCAGTCTTTGCCTCCATGCTTTCCTTCATCAGCTACTCCTACACGAGGCCGGATCTCCCTGCTGCTCAGGTCTTCTCCTCCCTGGCCCTGTTCAATGGTCTCCGTCTTCCCCTCAACTTGATTCCCCTGGTTCTCAGTCAGGCCATCGATGCCTGGGGTTCCATGGGCAGAATCCAAGAGTTCTTGCTGGCAGAAGAAATGGAGGAGGACATTATTCACAAGGACGATGGCCCCAATGCAATTGAACTGCACAACGCCGCCTTCACATGGGAGAAGACGCCCGCGAAAGAAAAGAGCGACGAGAAAGAGAAGGACACCAAGAAACCCAAGAAGGAAATTGCCAAAGACGGACCACAGGATCCCGAACCTGTCAAGGAGACATCGGAGAGAGAACCGTTCAAGATTCACGACCTCGACATCGAAATTGGCCGAAACGAGCTGATCGCCGTCATCGGTTCAGTCGGCAGCGGAAAGAGTTCATTGCTCTCTGCTCTTGCTGGAGAAATGCGAAAGACAAGCGGTGAAGTCGTATTTGGTGCCTCGCGAGCGTTCTGCCCCCAGTATGCCTGGATCCAGAACGCGACAGTGCAGAACAACATCACTTTTGGGCGCGACTTCGATAAGCCGTGGTACAAGGAGGTGATCCACGCGTAAGTGTTCATACAGGGCTCCCAATGTTCATTACAGAGACTAACATAAGTGATGCTGCAGGTGCGCTCTCCAGGCCGATCTCGACATGCTCCCCAATGGTGACCTGACGGAGATTGGTGAGCGAGGCATTACCATCTCCGGTGGCCAGAAACAACGTATCAATATTGCAAGAGCCATCTATTTCGATGCCGATGTTGTGCTCATGGACGATCCCTTGAGTGCAGTCGATGCCCACGTTGGACGACACATATTTGACAATGCCATCCTTGGCTTGCTCAAGGACAAGTGCCGCGTCCTCGCAACACACCAGCTTTGGGTTCTCAACCGATGTGACAGGATTGTCTGGATGGAGAATGGGAGAATCCAGGCTATCGATACATTCCAGAACCTCATGCAGAACCACCAGGGCTTCCAGACCCTGATGGAGACCACTTCTGTCGAAAAGGAGAAGGAAGAGAAAAAGGAGGACGGAGACGACGAGGGAGGCGACAATGCCCTCACAAAGAAAACAACGAAGAAGAACAAGAAGGGGGCCGCCCTCATGCAGCAGGAAGAGCGGGCAGTTGCCAGCGTGCCCTGGTCAGTGTATGGTGACTACGTCCGCGCCTCGGGTTCCATCTTCAACGGGCCTTTTGTCATTTTTCTCCTTATTCTCTCTCAGGGATCCAACATCACCACCAGTTTGTGGCTCTCGTACTGGACCTCAGACAAGTATGGCCTCTCCAAGGGCCAGTATATCGGTATATATGCTGGTCTAGGTGCCGTTCAGGCTCTCCTGATGTACTTCTTCTCCGTGATGCTCTCCGTTCTTGGAACGAAATCCAGCAAAACCATGTTGCAGGAAGCCGTTACGCGAGTTCTGCGTGCCCCCATGTCATTCTTCGACACAACCCCTTTGGGCCGCATCACCAACAGGTTCTCTCGCGATGTCGACGTCATGGACAACAATCTCACGGATGCCATCAGGATGTTCTTCTTCACCATCGCCATGGTCACCGCCGTCTTTGCCCTCATCATTGCCTACTTCCACTACTTTGCCGTGGCTCTTGTGCCAATGTACTTCTTGTTCATGTTCTCGGCATCGTACTACCGCGCCTCGGCTCGAGAGGTAAAGCGATTCGAATCCGTTCTGCGTTCAAACGTCTTCGCAAAGTTCGGAGAGGGCCTGAGTGGTATATCTTCGATCCGGGCCTACGGCCTCCGGGACCGCTTCATCGCCGACCTTCGCAAGTCTATTGACGAGATGAACGCCGCGTACTACTTGACCTTTTCCAACCAGCGCTGGCTCTCCATGAGGCTGGACAACATTGGCAATGCCCTCATCTTCACCGTGGGCATCCTGATTGTCACATCTCGCTTCAGCGTGGACCCCTCCATCGGTGGTCTTGTGCTGAGTTACATCCTGTCCATTGCCCAGATGCTTCAGTTCTCCGTCCGCCAGTTGGCAGAAGTCGAGAACGGAATGAACGCCGTCGAGCGTCTCCGGTACTACGGCAGGGAGCTTGAAGAGGAGGCGCCCCTCCACACAGTCGACGTCCGCCCGAGCTGGCCCGAGAAGGGAGAGATCATCTTCGACAACGTCGAGATGAGATACCGCGCCAACCTGCCCCTCGTCCTCAGGGGTCTCTCCATGCACATCCAAGCCGGCGAGCGCATCGGCATCGTCGGCCGCACGGGCGCCGGCAAGAGCTCCATCATGAGCACCCTCTTCCGCCTCGTCGAGATCTCCGCGGGGTCCATCACCGTCGACGGCCTCAACATCTCCACCATCGGCCTCCAGGACCTGCGCTCGCGCCTCGCCATCATCCCGCAGGACCCCACGCTGTTCCGCGGCACCATCCGCAGCAACCTCGACCCCTTCAGCGAGCACACGGACCTGGAGCTCTGGTCTGCCCTCCGCCAGGCTGATCTCGTCCCCGCCGACGCCAACACGGACAGCCAGGCCGCGGCGTCGGACTCGTCCCACCTCCACCTCGACACCACGGTCGAGGAGGACGGCCTCAACTTCTCCCTCGGCCAGCGCCAGCTCATGGCCCTCGCGCGCGCCCTCGTCCGCGGCTCCCAGATCATCGTGTGCGACGAGGCCACCTCGTCGGTCGACATGGAGACGGACGTCAAGATCCAGACCACCATGGCCACGGGCTTCAGGGGCAAGACGCTCCTGTGCATCGCCCACCGCCTCCGCACCATCGTCGGCTACGACCGCATCTGCGTCATGGACGCCGGGCGGATCGCCGAGCTCGACAGCCCCGCCGAGCTGTGGAAGAACGAGGGCGGCATCTTCAGGAGCATGTGCGATCGCAGCGGGATCCGGTTAGAGGATATCAAGGGGGCCAGGGAAGCCATGGAAGGGATTGTTAAAAGCGATGACGCCTGAGGTCGAGTGAGACACGGGCTGTCTTGAAAATGAGGATCACATACTAAAATAGACTTCACAGAATCGGGGAATTTCAAACAGTGTTTTAGAGAATGAAGAAGAAAAGTCAACGGCGTTCGGGCTATGTACATGATAAAAAAAGCTAATCACTATTAATGGCTATGTCTAGCATCTCCTGTTTGAGATGGTACCTATTCCAGAAAGGCAAAGGGATTTTCAAAAGTGCAATGACAAACAAAGGCTGCTCCAACCCCGCTATAACAATGTGGTATAAACTATATCCAAACCCACACAGTCCAGTCCAATCCTGTCGTTCCGAGCTATGAAATTCAACGGTACTGCTGACCCCCAAGATGCGCAGAATGTCTCGATGTCGTGGAAGGCATCTGAGAAGGAGGGAAGGCGTTCGGGTCATCGGCAAGCAAATCGTCCAGATAGGCACTAGGGGCGCGCTGGCTGTGTGGGCGGTTGAGGTTGAGCGAAGTAGCGCTCAAATCCCGCCTAGCTGTGCCTACCACTTGAGGGGAATCGGGAGGAGTGCCTTGAAATGTGTTGCGGGAGCCGCCATGACCCCTTGAATCTGGTCGAAGGTTTGTCATGCTGGTGGAGTGTCGTTGCGTCTGGTTATTGGATCCCGCTCCGGCGGCGTAAAAGCCAGAGGGAAGATAGGTAGATGCCCGGTTTCCAGGGGTTGTCGAATTAGCTGCGGTGGGAGAGAAGAAGAGGTTCGAGGCACTGGCATTGGTCATGGATGGAACTGTTCCACGCGTCGTCCTTCGAGGGTTGCGACCAGGCTGTGAAAGAGACATAGTTGAGTTCTGATCAGTGTACTTGTAGAAGGGTGCAGGCGGCGCAGGGAAGCCGGCCTTGGCGTTGGTGTCGTGCTGAGCCTTCGCAGCACGTTCGACTGATCGGTGAAGCAAAAGACCAACAATGACACGCCAGAGGAGAATGGCCAAGAAAAAGGCGCCCAGGATAGCTCCTACGGCGATGAAAACGGTTCCTTCCGGCGCGCGAGAATGCTGCATGAATGGGGCATTGACTGTCGGAGGAACGGCTGCGGGAGCATATGTTGGAACACCGTACTTTCCCGTCAGCGACGCTGTGATGCGGATATTGCCTGAATCAGAAGTCGAGGTTGAAGTTTCCTTCGAGGTCGTTGTCGAGGTCTTTGAAGAAGATGATGACGTCGTCGAGCTTTTCTCCTCCGAGGTGCTTGTGGTTTTCTCCTCGCTCGTAGTGGATGCCTTGTCCGTCGTGCTGGGCTTAGCCTCCGACGTCGTGGCAGCTTGCGAGGTTTGCTGATTGGAGGTTTGCTGGGCTGAGGTCTGTTTGTCGTCCCCAGATGCCGTGGTTTTGTCCGTGCTGTCTTGAGCAAGAACAGGCTTTACAGCGATGAGGGCCGTCGATAATAGGGACGTATAGAGAAGCGACCGCTTCGAGGAGGGGGCGAAGGCGGACATGATCGGTCGGTCGACGATAGAATAGGTGCTCGAAAGTCGCGTAGGTGGATTCGGAAATCGGTCGTGAGGACCTGAGAAAACGGCGGGGGTGATCAAGTGCTCAAAACATGCGGAAAATAGACGATATAGCGCATAGGGTTGCGGCGTGCTGGAATGCAGAAACGGATAAACGAATGGTGGCTGTGTCTCGGGGGCGACGTGGTGCGCGACGTGCGACCAGGAATGGCCCTGGCGATGGATCAACTGGAGTTGCAGGGTGAGCGAAAGTATGTCAACAACGAAGGACTATAAGCAAGCAATGATGAGAGAAAAAGCAATGTCTGAAAAGAATGCTGGCGGCGGCGATCAGGCTAGCGAAGCCATGAATGCATGGTGGTCTTGGATGGGGCGGAGAGACAAGAAGGAGAAGGGTTCAGCTGGTGGGTGGTGTTCGTGGGTGTGTGGGATGGGAACGGGACCCAAAGAAAGAAGGACCAGACCCATCTGGGGCTCCTTCCAGTCCCTGCTTAGCGCTAAATTACCTCGACAGCTGGATTAACGAGAAAAGGAGGAGTGTGCATCTCCGAAACGCGTTAGACCGGCGTGGGCTTAGGGGATGCCCTCGAACCAGGCCGTTTAGCGCGCTCCACCGTTGAAGAGCAGAAGCCGTCTGATTGGAGGTTAGCGCCCTGGCCCAGGAGCAGATATCAGCGCTCCTCGTGGCTGGCGGTCGTCATCAGGGATCACGCCAGTTGGGATGCGCACTGAGGCACGCGAGTTTCACTAGTGAATGTTGGAGAACTATCGATCTGGAGGGACAGACATATGAGTATTCTCCCTGCGGTTACTCACGTCTGCAATGCAATACCAATGTTCTACCAAGAAAACGTCACCAAAAGGCCGCTGCTAGCTTCCCTCGCACTCGTCCCACCAGCGTCAACTGTCGGACATGATCTTGAGAGCAAGGATCCCACCAAGTTACTGTCAGCAAACAACGACCTAAAGTCAACTCGACAGTCACATAGCAATGTTTGCCCTTGTGTAATATAGATAAAACTATGTAATAATTACTCAATAACATATTATTCTTGCAAACTATTATCTGTCAATACTGTGGTGTGTAGGCAGTTGAGATACAGAAACACCTCTCAAGTCCCTGTTATTCTGACGCCCGCTTGCCCACATCCCGAATCACGAATCACAAATAAAAACGCAGATGCTCCGGACAACCATAGATTCGTCATCCTGCTTGCGTGGTATTACCATCCCCAATTCTCATTGTTTCGGACGCTATAGCTGCATGTGATGTGTTGCTACAGAGACAATCCGCGGTTGCCACCACCTCGATGTATTAGCGTCCGGGGCCACTGCAAGCCGCGGAGAGCGTGGCCCAATTGACCTGTGAGATGAGAAGGGGTCCGTATTAGATGCACCTCCCATCTTTCCCAATTTAAGTTGACAGAAATTCATAATAATGCAAACTCTCGGAGATTGGGGCAACCCGGCTGTTCTCAGTGTCCTTTCGAGGTTTGCCAAGGTATCGATTATCACCAATGGCTGCAAGATGCCTGAGAAGCCATAGACTCTCCACTCTGTAATGGGCACGTGACTAAGCACTTTGGCCGTGCCAAGCCCCAGCCTGCCTAGGCTGAGGCGTCATAGCACATCAGCAGGCATCATCAACCGCAAAGCTCTCGACACCTATCTCGCTGTTCTTATTGCCCTGCCCTCCGACCGTTCGCATCGCCCTTGTCACCCCTCAACAACCCTAGAATCGAAAGAAACCATAATGGAGGAGGACCGCCTCTGGAAGTTCAGCAAGCCCGAGTGGCTGAACAGCGCCTGGGCTCGCAATTCAGGCGTCTACAGCGCTGGAGCTCTCGTACGTTTCCCAAGCCCGTCCCTTGTGACAAGCCTGCCATCTATCGCCAGACATTCGCGGTGCGAAATGGAAAGGCTAGCGACTTTTGCGCTTAACTTTGGAATGCGAGCTGACCTGTATTCTCTCACGACATAGTTCGCCGTAGCCTTCTACGTGATGCTGGACTCGGCAGTCTGGTCGGGATCGACGATGAACGCCTCCGATGTCCACATCAAATTCGTCGACTGGCTCCCCCTCATCTTCTCCAGCTTGGGGATGCTGATCATCAACTCGGTCGAGAAGCAGCGCCTCAGCGCGGATTCGTTCAGCTACAGCGGCTCCGGCGTCGCATGGAAGGCCCGTGTCGTCCTCTTCCTCGGTTTCGCTGCGCTCGCTGGCGGGATGGCCGGCGGTGTGACCGTCTTTGTGCTCAAGTTCGTGGTCCCGGGAGTACAGATGCCGGCCCTTAGCATGGGCATTGAGAACGTCGTGAGCAATGCGCTCGTCGGACTCAGGTAAGCACAGGCCGTCAAATGCGATTTTGCCCATACTGATTCGTTGAAACAGCTCGGTTGTTCTCTGGGTGAGCCAGAACATGGAGGACGAGTACTCCTACAACCTCTCTCTGTAGGTTGGAAGCTGAGAGTTCCTTGAGGGACGACATCACCAGATATTACCTCAGTTGTTGGGTTACCGGCGTCTTCCAAAGTTTCCTTTTGCATGTTCATCGGGGCATTAGTTTGTATATTATATTGCCATGCGATACAAGTAGGTGATAGGATGAAACCAAGACATTTGATGTTTGGTTCTCTCTAGGGGCTTGTAAGGTATGGGGAGTTTTCAGATGCGCTACAGCTCCCGAGGTTCAGTGTTCGAATATTATTAAGCCAGTTTTTTTGTTACTTCATCATTTCATCGGCGGCTCTTATTTACTAGTCTTTCTTATAATGAGTGATTGAGTTGCGGACCATATCCCTTCAAGTCGAAAGGATAACTTGCCTGGGTAGGCGACGAACACTGATCTCACTCCACCGCTCAACGCTGGTTTAGGTGATGAGCAGCAGGTTGCCCCTCCAAACCTGCAGGCTACTCTTACCTATCAACAAAAACACGGCCAGCAATCAATTCATTTTTTACTTTCTCTCCCTACTAGGGAAGTCTCCAATCATAATTAATTCAATTGATATCGCGCCCATACTTAGATTTAGATAACTTCCCCACCATCACCATGGCTGACCGCAACCGTGGAGCGACGACAAACTTCAACAGCAGCACTGGAAGCGCCTCATCCCGTCCCCGGGCCAGCGCGACTCTCGCCGGGGTTCGTCGCAACCTCTTTCAGACCCAGAATGCAAAGCCACGGCGGCCTGTAGCTCCATCCGCACACTCTTCTGAAACGATTAGGATTGAGGCTGAAGCGCCAGCCCCGGACAGCTCAGAAATCGTCGTTCGCGATCGCCATGGAGAAATCGAGTTCGGCGAGCCCCCTTCCCCCGATCTAGAGGATGAAGAAGAGTTGCCGCTAGACGACCAACAGGAAACGGAGCGTGAGTATTGATGGGACCTGGGATGAGCTCGGATACCGTAGATAGGTACTGATTGATTATTATTAGAGGAAAGGCAAAGACTGGCAGACGCAGTTAAGCACCACCAAATCAACAGCAGCTCCATGGCTGAACAACCAGAAGGTAGGCCAAGTCCCATTTAAAAAACTTAATCATGCATTTCTTTTTCTAATCAGATAAACCCAGAACTCCTCGAAGCCGTGAGAGCAAGTCTTCGTGCTAAAGTAGCCGCTCTCTCAGAAGACAATTGGATGTATGAGCCAGAGGAGCAAGTTCGCACGCTCTGAGCAACTCACCCTCCATGTCTTGTCTTACTTTTCCTCATATCCTATTCTATGGTGAAGCGCACAGGCCGCTCTTTAATGCAGTGTACTTTGTCTAATCTAACCCAACTGGCGCGGGCCCGTCGTTTCCTCGCAGGGTCCTGCGCTGGGGCTGTTGGGCGCCGCCAGCGCCTCCGCCAAACAGACCGCTCATCATGTCCATCAACGGGTTGCTCTGCCTCGGCCTCACGATGCCAAAGTACATCTCTCCAATGAGGTCCAAGGACTCCGACCACGCGCCGTCGGTTTCTGAAAGCTGCGTTGCGTATCTGGAAATAAGGCCCTTGAACACCTCGGGAGCTCCCCTTTGAATCGCAAGGAGTAGCAGACCAAGGAAGTTGAGAAGGGGCAGGCTAGGAAAGACACGGATGTCGGAGCCTGAGCTGGAGACTGACTGGACACCGAGGCTGTCGTTGTCGTCGCTCAGGGCGCTTGTGAAGAGTCGATAGGAGGTGTTGGCGGCGCGGACGTTGCCCACTAGAAGATAGGGTATAATGGCACGGGCGGCGAAGTGCGCAGCCAGGTGTACCTCCCCTTCCTTGTACCATTCGTATTCCATCTTAACAAGTACTTCCGGTGAATCTCTCGTTCCGATAATCAGGTGTTTCTCTGCCTCATATGTGTCGTGCTCCTCGGCAAACAACGAACCGGCAACATGGTGTAGCTCGGGATCACCGGCAGGATACTCGCCGAATTTCGATGACCAACTAGTATAGAGGGTTACGTGTCAGCTAGATACACGAGAATAGTCTTATTCTTGCTGAAAAGGAATTCCTTACGCCATCAACTCTGTAATGAATGTCTTCCTCGTCGGCTCTCCAGCTTCAAACAACCGAAGGCAAGTCAAAAGTCTGCCTTTGGCGGCAGCATCCGGCTTCAGCTCGGCCTGCTTGTACACATCCACCATCATGATGCAAAGGTCGCCTCCACTGCCGCCCTGCCCGGCTTTCAGCAGCGACTGTGCAACATTGGACAGGATGTCGATCGCGGCGGGCCAGTTCTGGGTCTTGATGTAGCGGGAAGCCGCCACGCGGGTCTGCTGCTGGGCCTCGTAGAAATCGCCATCGGTAATCTTCTCCTGCAGGCGGGCGACGATTCGGTCGACTTTGCTGGCCATGGTGGGCTGGGGTCCTGTTGGGGAGGTTGCGAACAAAGGGAATGACGATGCTGATTATTTCGGGTCCAGCTGGAGAGGTGACACCTAATGCTGCCCTCCACTGGCGGGGTAGCGCCTGGATCGAGAGCTCAGGCCTTGATCTTGGCTTCAAGCTCCAGGTGGGGGGTAGCGATCAACCAGCTACCCTAGATATACATATGCCTTAGTACTGGCTGCGTCGACACTTCAACTTCGCAAAATTGAGGAGATGAGGAGAAATATATTATTGGCTATTCGATGTGTAATATCGATTGAAGCCTCTTACTACTTGTCAAATTCCAATTTGCAACCAATGCGCTCTTGTGATAACTTGTAAGTGCAGCAACGGGCCTAGTGCGCTGAGGATGCAAGAGTCTTTTGGAAGAACATTCTGATTTCCGAAATGATTATCTCAAACGACGCATTTCCCCTGCTTCTCGATTCCATAGCTAGGCAGTTTTACTAGAAGTAGGATTTGCAGCCCCCCCAAAGCCATCCGTTGTCTTTCAACGAGATTCTGTCAATCAACCAATACTCCTCTATCGTGAATTCAAAGCCCCATTATTCTTCCTCGGACTCTTCAGATTGAGTTTCTGTAAACACTCCGCCTTGGGCCTCAATTTCTTCAATCCAACCACTTCCGGGAACTGGCGCCGGTTCATCTTGACCTTCAAGCTGTAATTCTTCATAAGCCTCTTCAGCTTGAGTCTCTGAAGTTACTTCACTCTGAGTCGCAACCTCTTCAATCCAACCACTTCCGGGCACTGACACTGGCTCATCCTGAACTCCAGGCTGTAATTCTTCTAGTGCCTCTTCAAAATGAATCTCCGGAACTACTTCACCCTGAGTCTCAGCCTCTTCATTCCAGCCACTTCCAGGCATTGGGGCTGATTCGTCCTGAACTTCAAGTGGCACTTCTTCATGAGCTTGAGTCTCTGGAACTGCTTCACCCTGAGTCTCAACCTCGTCAATCCAACCACTTCCAGGCACTGGGATTGCTTCATCCTGAACTTCGGGCGGCACTTCTTCTTGAATCTCTTCAGCTTGAGGCACGTCGTCGAATTCTTCACCGAACCCATATTCGAATTCATCATCCTCTATCTCATCCCACTCAAAATCGAACTCGTCATCCACTTCGACGATGTCTGAATGTTGAATTAGATACCGATTGCAGGACTTTCGCACCTCACTGCCTAAATCATAAAGTTTCTTGAGGCTCTCCACGGCTTTGCGTTTGCGCCGTATGATCATTTCTCTGTCTCGAGCCCACATATCCGGCTCTCCAGAGGTTGCTAGATAGTCGATTCTTCGATGGCGAAAGTTAATGGAAATATTCACACCGTTTCTTCGGTTGGTGAATTGGCCCATCATCACTTTTACATATAGCTGCTGAGGCTGCAAGTTTCGGATGGCTTCGAGGATAGGAGAGTTCTTGTCAAAAAAATTCACGAATGTGAAAACATTGTTCTGGAGTAGACTGGGCCGAATTTTGATTACTAGAGTCATGATGTTAGGCGTGATAATCACGGGAGTGCAAGATTCTTCTCGTTCAACCCCATGCTTCGCTCCTCGACCACTATTCCGTTTCTTTTTCGAGGGTTTAGAAACTGTGATGCTTGGATATAAGGGGACTGAATCCTTGTCGACAGGAGGAGGGTTGATTAAGATCTCGAGGGCCTCCCTCATGTTCCTTAATGTATCGTTACCACATCGGTTGTGTTCAGCCTCGATGATAACATGTCGAAAGAGATGGTGGAATTTGCCAACATTGATGCGTGGCTCATCGAGCTCCTTTTTCTTTCTCCTTGATCTTGCTCGCCGTGTGCTGCTTTGGGGGTTATGCTCCTGGTAATCCCCATCATTGGGATCGTCACCCTCCAGGCTGCCAGTAGTAGAAGAAGAAGCAGAATCAAAAGCTACCAGTGCGTCGAGGTTGATGGGGGGTGGGCAAATGGCTGGGGGATCACGAAGGCGATAGAGAAATGTGTTTTCACTGTATAGGATTCGTGCCGCCTCTGGGTAAAACGACTTGTTCAACCTTAGAACGCTGATTTCTAGCGCTGGCCTGTCGGTGAAAGCCGGACCTGTTTGCCGAGTGTTCCCATGCTTGTAGACCCTTTTCCAGCCATCAAAAACTGCGATTGGCATATTGGACCGCAAAAGATATCGGTAAATCTCTTCCCGTATCTCGAGAGGAATCGGAAAAATTTGGATACCTTCTTCTTCTTCTTGAACGACTGGTGTTACACGGGTATCGTTCTCGAGTTGAATGTCATCATCTCCCGGAAGGACGAAGTAGCTTGACTTCGGAGGTCTCTTTTGAGGCCTGCTAGAGGACATTCTGTCGCTCGAATTCCAATCCGCATCAGATGGGTCAGGTATGGATGGAGGAGCAGCTTTTCTGGGAACTTTGGGGGTTTCATTTTGGCGAGAGGTTTGCATTGCTGCAATGTCTGCTATAGGTGCCCAAGCGAATCGAATCGGATCCAAACCGTTTACTCCAAAATCCTCGGGATCTGGCATCTCCAGTGACGACTCTCCTACCAGATTGTAGAGCTCTGATGGATCTACTTCGGGTGGTCTGTTCTTCTTTCTTTTCTTGAACAGTCTTTTGTTGGTTATGACAAGTTCATCGTCTGATTCAGACTTCCTCTTTCTTTCGCTGGCGCCATAGCTCATTGATGGAAGGTCCATTTTGGAGGAGAGGTGGGTAGATTATGTTCTCACGAGCATCAAAGTTGGACGGATCGACGTGGAGGGGAAATGCTTGGTTGGAAAGGTTCTTAAGATAGTGAGCAAGGGATCTTGAGAATGAGAGATGCAAGGAAGGAAGTGGAAGTTGTGGTGAAGAAAAGTGAAGAGTGTTCACGAAGAGAATTACAAGTTGGTGGAGGATTTATACGTGTTAGAGGAGGAAGGAAGGCAGCACTCGTACGAGAGAAGGAAGGAGCCGGTGGTATGTTGGCCCAATATGGAAGCAGACTACGAATATTGTGAAGATTGAAAATGATGACAATAATAATGATTATTCAGAAAAAATCTAACAGGACTGGTGTTGGCAACTAAGAAAATGAAGAATGTGTAAACTGTGAGTATACTTGGAGTTGAGCAGGCGGGAGCCACTTAAGACGAATGGCCGATAGGCTTATCGATGCTGGTCGAGCCCCGCCATCAATTTTGGGTGGGTTGAGCCCCGCCAACTTTTTTTTCATGTGCTGCCTTGATGGTTTATCTGCCAAATTCCAACCAACGATTAGAAATACCCAAGTTGACCGGCTTCACTCGAGGTGGCACCATACATTTCCCAAGATGGCTCGAGGCAAGTGGATGTAAGAACGAGTGCCATATTGTGAACAAGCCGTCTCTCAATCAACATATACTAACTCCGGATTGTAGCGACAAGAAGACGGCGCAGCATTTTACGCTGGTGCACCGGCCCCAAAATGACCCTCTTATCCACGATGAAGATGCACCCTCTATGGTGTTGAACCCTACGCAAACGTCGTCCCAGAAGAAAACTGGCGCATCGCAAATCAAACATCTCGATGATCTCGCTTCTGAGCTGGGTTCGGATGCGCAGCACATTCGCGACAACGAAGGTGAAGCAGCCAGCTATGGCGTTTACTTCGACGACACAGAATATGATTACATGCAACACCTGAGAGATCTCAACTCCGGGTCGGGAGGACAGGTCGTCTTTGTTGAGGCCGACGCGACGGGAAACAAGGGCAAGAAGAAGCAGAAGCAATCGTTAGATGAGGCGCTAAGAGACATGAGTCTGGATGGCAAGTCTGGGGTCGATTTGGACGATGAGCTGTTGCCTTCTAAAAACCTTACGAGGTTAACATACCAGGCCCAACAGAGTGTTCCGGACGCCATCGCTGGTTTCCAGCCTGATATGGACCCCCGTTTGCGAGAGGCGCTTGAAGCACTAGAGGATGATGCTTACGTCGAGGACGACGATGACATATTCAAGGAGCTGACAAGCGACGGGAATGAATTGGATGATTACGAGTTCGAAGACTCACAGCACAATGGGAATTATGAAGATGACGATGAGGGATGGGAATCCGATGACACAGCGAAACCAGCTAAAGAATTTAAGGACGAGGTGCCGAATCTCGTCAAGGTCGAGGCACAGCCCGAGCAGGGACCCTCTCAGGACTGGATGGAAAACTTCAAGCAGTTCAAGAAGGAGCAGAAGAGTGGGCGAGCCCCAGCTGCCCCCTCTGAATTGCAATCACAATGGACAACCACGACAAACGGTGGCCGTCGCAAGAAGCGGAAAGGTGCCTTGACGGACAATTCCAGCTATTCAATGACTTCCTCCTCGCTCATGCGCACCGACCAATTGACTCTTCTGGACTCAAGGTTCGACAAGATTGAGGAGCAATATAATGAGGATATGGATGACATGGCCTCAATGTCCGCTGTATCGACGGCTTCTAGTGTCACAGGGCCTGTCCGTGGAGACTTTGATGGGATCATGGACGACTTCTTAGGGAACTTTACAAAACCCGGAAAGCGAACATCTAAAAAGACCAAGGCACAAACAGGGCTAGAACAGCTCGATGAGATTCGGTCGGGATTAGGACCTCCCCGGATCCGTGGTCGCGGATGAGATGAGATACGATGGTAAAAAAACAAAATAGGATAAAATATTGAATGACAATGAATGACAATGAATGACAGTAAGATAATGAAAGAAATGTGCCCCATTTGACACTCACATTCAGACGCATGAAGGCACAGGATGCTGAGAAGTAGCTGAGAAGTAACTGATGAGATTCACACGGTGAATCTATTTGCGGGTGGTTGGATCATCACGTGATGCACAAGGACAATGGTTGACCGTAGACCCACCGGGGGTTGGGATCCGTTCAAGCTATTGATGGATGGAGCAACAATAAGCTAGCTTCTTGAATGCCGGTGAAACGTGATTCCATTCAACGACTTCACTTTTTCCTTCGCGTCCTCGCCAACTCTCCGCCGCTCTTCGAATACGACCGAATCACTAGAACATATATTTACTTCTCCTAATGTACAAACGATCTCTTGGATGAGTGCGACGTCTGTTGCATCATCGGCCAAATGATCAGCAACCCTTTCTCCCAGTCGGCGCAGAGCCAGCCGGCAGTTAGCAATCCCTTTGCTGCTGCTGTGGCGAAGCCTGGCAAAAACGAACTTAACCCATTTGGTTTTGGTGGTGCAGGCGACTCGGCACGAGAAAAGCAGAACAGCAAGCGAAAGGGGGGGCTAACAGACCAGAGCGACAGCCATGGATCGAAGCGCAAAGGCGGCAAGCAATCTCGCGACAAAGATGCCGCGGTGAGCGACAGCGACGCCAGCAAGCGAAAGCGCCGCGATGGCAACCAGAAATCCGCGCCTAAGAATTCTCTGCCCAATGGCAACGCCGGCGCAAAAAAAATTCAGGCTCGAAAGCCCCGGCATGAGAACGGCTCTGTCGCAGGCAATGCTACTGACGGATCCCGACCGAGCTCCTCCTCCAGCCAGGCGTCCAACGAGATCGAAGGCACCACCGAGCCGCCAAAGGTCCCAAACACATCCGATCCGCATGCGAAGAAGGTGTACACCCAACTGCACAGCGATGGGATTAGCCCGCCAAACTGGCCATCGCGTCCAGGCGATCCTCGGAATAAGTCTGCCATGGCCAAGTTTAGAGAGCGGTACGAGGGCTATCGCACAAAAGTACGCGCGTCATTGACCAAGGCTGGCTTAATCGACGACCCGACGAAGCGGAGAGCTCTGGAAGATGCTATCGTCTTTCGTGGCATTTGCGAAGACATGTGCCCTGAGTACGAAAAAATCCAACGTATTACCGAACTCGACGTGCTCGGCCCTGAGAAGGACCCCAAGGACAATGTCGCTGCTACCCAAAGAATGGTTAAAAAACTGGCCCGCTCAGCCGCTGGCCAAGAGGCACCGTTGCCAATGGATGTACGTTCCGTACCTGCATTGCGGCGAACCTTGGACTACCTGATCGATGACCTCCTGAAAAACGACAAAAACTTGCCTGGTCTTCACGGATTCTTGTGGGATCGTACGAGAGCTATTCGCCGTGATTTTGCTTTCTTTTCTTCCTTGTCGCCTGACGAGCTGAAAACTCAAGTATATGTCCTGGAAAACATCGCACGATTCCACGTCACAGCACTTCATCTACTCTCTCAGGCTGGCAAAAAACCCGAAGACTTTGTTGAACAACAGGAGCTTGAGCAACTTGGAAAGGCGCTCTTGTCACTTCGTGACCTTTACGACGATTGCAATGAGCAAGGGATAACATGCGAGAATGAATCGGAATTTCGAGCCTACTACCTTCTTTTCCATGCCCATGATCCAAATATCATGGAAGTTTTACAGAGACAGTGGAGCCCACACCATTGGAAGAAGTCGGATGAGGTTCGTACGGCAGTTTCGCTCGTGGAAGCTCTGCAGAACACCAAAGACTTCCATGGCCCGCTAAAGCCTGCCCCTGCGCTGGCTGCAGGTGGTCCTCTGCATTCCTATTTCCGGATAGTAGAGGACCAGGCGGTGTCTTACACCATGGCTTGTTTTGCCGAGTGTCATTTTGCTTCTCTTCGCCGCTCTATGCTCATCGCCCTTGTAAGGGCGCTGGCTAGGCCCAAAGACGAGACGAGAGATGTCAACGCCGAAGCTCTGAACCGCTTTCTCCGATTCGATACCATCGATGAGGCAATCGAGTTCGCAGAAGCCCATGGACTGGAATTCGAAGCAGATCCAGAGGCTCCAAATGATGCCGGGCGGCGACGGATTCTGCTCAAGCCCAGGCAGCAAGTTCCTCATATTCGCTTACAGCATCAATACTCTCAGAAACTTGTTGAGCAGAAGCGAGGCTCACACACTCTCCCAAACGTCATTCATAATACAATATTCCCCAGCGGCCATGCTACTGTAGCAAATGGCCTTGAAACCAAATCAGCTCTTACTGGCTCTCAACCACCAATCAATACAGCCAGTTCGACCAAACCTGCTATTTCCAATGGTATTCCACCACCGACTGCCCCGTCCATTTTCCAAGCACCAGCACAGGCCGCCAGCTCTTTGTCCACCGGGGTTGGATTTACAGGTAAGAATCTGACCTCAAAGATGCTAATTGTTCGGCACTATATACTTTTGATTTCTGGGTGATATTGGCAATTTGCTGAGTCGAGATTTCAACCCATTTGGAGGTATTGAACTATATGCCACGTCAGTTTTTGCTAATCTGCTTGCAGGATTCTCGGCACCATCCCAGCCAGCACCAGGATTCAGCTTTCCCAAAACACAGCCTCCAGCAGCTAATGTGTTGGCTCACTCGAAGCCTTCAGACACGAAGCCATTGTTCAACCCTTTCGCCAGCGCTTTTCAGCCGTCTTCAGCCCCCACAGGTATCGCAGGTGCCCATCCAGCAGCGACTGGGGTTTCACAACCTGCACCAGTGTCTGGAACACCGGCGTTCAATCCATTCGCAAATGCTGTGCAGGCACAACCTCCTGCTGATTCAGCACCACCAAAATTCCCATCGCCATCATTCCAGAATCCCCTCGCCCCAACAAGTACCGCCACCCCGTTGACAGAGGTGAAAACAGGGTCACCTCCCTCAGTCTCAGGATCTGTACCAAGTACACTCTCTGGTGGACAATTAGCCCCAGGTACCCCGATTCAATCCACGCCTG